CAACAACAACAACAACAACAACAATAATAATAATAATAATAATAATAATAATAATAATTTGTCCAAATAACTCTATTTTCCATGTTCTCCAAGGTTGGGGTTCTGTGTGTGGTTACTTTTATAATCTCCTCTTTTTATAATCTCTTTTTATAATCAGAATGTTTTGGGGGGATGTTTTCAGCTTTCAGTCAAAACTTTTCATGTGCACTTCATTACATATTTCAAGAGAAGGAAGGAAAGCCACAACGCTCACCTGGTTGCATTCCTAAATAATCTCTCGTGTATACTGTTTTGTACTGCTTCTTTAGTACCGCCTCCAAATCTTGTTTACTAAAAGGTTTTGTCCATGGTGAAAAGCTATCTGTAGGTAATGCTGTTTCTTCACGAGGCAGTTGCCATATCAGGAAACGCTAAAAAACGGAAAGAAGAAAATGATAAAGAACAAAAACTTTTTAAAAAAAAGAATCCACCCAAATGTGCTTTCAATTATGCCTTTTAAAAGCAATTTGAATTTTTGTGATCTTTGTAAAAGATGCCTGTGTGATCATAAATATTATTTGTATCTTCCATAGCTCTGAACTGCTTGTTTTAAATGTTTATCAGTAATAGTAAAAAAAAAAGCCACCAAAGAACATGGTGGATGGACACCATCAAAGTTGACACCAGCAGGAGCATAGAGCAACTCAAAGAAGCAATGCATGATTGGAAGCCATGGAGAGACCTGGCCCACAGAATCGCCAGGAGTCGGACGCGATTGAATGGATAACATCCTCATCCTCATCAATTGAGCACATATGTATTGGAATAGCAATTTCAGGCCACTGAAATTTTTTTTAGGCAGATAATCTTATTTCTAAAAAGCTTTCCTAGCTTCTTTCCTGCCCTACTTAAACTCTACAACTGCCCTTATCTTATCTCCTTTGGGGAAATTTTCATACACCATGTATATCTGTATATGGTGAAACCACGAATACAATTTTGTACTCCAGTAAAATAATTAGTGAACAATTGCATGGGTACATATTCAGCATTATAGATAATCTTTGAGTTACACCAGCTATTGGAAAGGGATTTGCCTTTGCTAAGTAATGTGACTGTGAAGTATGATGTCGTGTGACTACATCGCTCAGAAATGGAAATCCAGGATGTCCCAGTTGCTGTTATAATCCAAATATGTGGATCATTATGCGGAAAGTGGAGGAATTGCCCAGGAAGGACTCTGGGGAGCGGGTGGGCGGGGAGGCCTAGAACAGATCACACACGAATCAGAGAAAGGATGCCTGGTGGGATGTGAGCTCAGAAATGCCAGGAAATGAGAGATCTGCGTGCATGCAATTGCAGGGAGGATGTGGGTTATATGTGCACATGTGTGCAATTGCAGGGAGGTCAAGAAAACGGGCACAGTGTGCATGCAATGTCAGCGAGGCCATGGAAAGATCAGGCAGGGTGTGTGCAATCACAGGAAAAAGGGTACAGGTCAGAAGTGGGATTCACTTACCTTCCCAACCAGTTCGCAAATGTGAGCGTGTGCGGCACGTCTGCACATGTGCATCGCCTTCTGAGCATGCACAGTGCTCAAACATTACATTGGGGCGGGCGGGCAGAGCCTCCTGCATCCGCCACTACTGGTTTGCCCGAACCAGAGAGAACCGGCTGAATACCACCTCTGGTACAGGTTGCATGCATGTTTGTAATCATAGGAAAGCCGGGGAAAGAATGTGTGCGATGTGTGCGATCACACACAGGCCAGGAAACAACATGGAGTATGTGCACATGTGAGATCACAGGAAGCCCATGGAAAGGATGTGGAGTCAATTGAGGGAGACCAAGGAAAGACAATGCAGGATGTATAATTGCAGTGAGGCCATGGAAAGAGGATGTGGAGTGCAAGCATATATGTATTCAAGTAGAGGCTGGCTGTGGAAAGAGAGCACGGGGGTGTGCAAGTGAAGGGGAATGCAGTGGATTCAAGTGAAGAAAGGCTGGGGAGGGAGGCTTAACCCAGTGACCTTCCCTGTCAACTTCCCCATTGATTTTCTAGGGAAATCGGCAGGAAAGGTTATAAATACATCACTTTGGGGGAGGGTGGAGTAGTCATAAATCTTTTTGTTCAGCATCATCAAAACTTCAAAACTCCAAATTGACTGAAAAGCAGAGATGTTTCTACTAGGAATAATGACGACCAAATATAAAAAAGAGACTTTGTATTCAATTCTACAAGGTGGCGAGGATTGCTTTCGCTCAGAAATGGAAAAATAAATTGATACCAAACAAGGACGAAATAATAAGAAAGATTCTGGACTGTGCAGAAATGGACAAGTTAACAAAAGAAATTCAGGGAAGGAAGCGATAGAATATTATCGGACATGGGAAAAACGGTATAGGTGGTTGGAGGAAAGAAACAAAGATTAATGAAAGAGTCTAACAAAGTTGAAAACTAGAAGTTAAGGAGAATTGTCATATACGTGTGTGTGTGTGTGTGTGCATATATATATATACGTATGTGTATATATATATATATATATATATATATATATATATATATATATA